CAGACTGCCTCACTCCACCTGCGCGGTGGGCGTTCGCCCCATGGTGGAGCCCTGCTGGAGGGAAGGGCAGGACAAGGGATGGAGGGTTGGAGTATTGAGACGGACGGGGGGTCTAAACTGGCTGCGGCTCTGTTATAACAGACATATCAGGAAAACTGATGAGACCAAATGCGTTCAAATCGGTACCCAGGCCCGGCGGCCCCTCCCCGGATTCATGCGGTGCATCGTCTCACCCCAACTCCGTTTTTCACTGTCCCTTGGCCCGCAAACGGCCCTGGGAGACAGAAGACGGCAAACCACTCGAACCCAGCGCCTCGAACCTCGAGGCCCTTAAGACGACTCCCACTTGGACACAGCCCGCTCATGCTGCCAGAATACTGGCGGCCCGAAGCGCTGCACCGAAAGCGCGTGCAGCACCTGCGTCAGTCGGCCTCGAGCCCGCCCCGCCGGCCCGACCCAGTCCTCAACGGTGCCAAACACCGCTCTCTGGATGGTACACGGATTGGCGGCATGCCCGAGTGTTGGCGCAGGCGGGCGGCCCTCGAAAAAACCGCGGGGCCTCCGAGAAGGCAGGGGCCCTCGCATGACGTCTAAAAGAAGGGCCCTCTGCCTTCTGGGCGCCCCAAGTTACTCAGGAATCCGCCGCATGCGCGACATCCCTTCGCGCGCGCCGCCAAGCGATACACTGTCAAGGCCGAGGTCCCTTCGACGGCGGTGGCTGCGGCAGATTGCGCTCGCATGTTGCACACCCCGTTTGGCAATCGTGGCCTCGCGCGCCACGACGAGGCGGAGACAACGTACACGATCAACCTAGAAACGCGCCCGGTCAGCCCTTCGGATGGGGCATGGATCCAAAGCGGACCACACGCTGCACACACATACACACATAGAGAGAGAGAGAGAAAGCATTGCTTCATTCGCGCGGAACTCCCCCGCCGTGCGGGTCCTGCACCACAAATTGTGGTGCTGGACGCAATGTGGCAATTGCGGGGACGCAGTGGGGGAGGGACGTTACCTAGTGGGGGGGGGAGGGCATGCCGCGCGTGATGGCCCAGAGGGTCAATAAGCATTCCCATACACAAACGCACATACACGAACACATGTTTTGGCGTCGCGGCCACGCGGGCAGCGGCGCGCAGGATATTTACACGCGCACACACACGCACACACAGACACACACACACACAAACACACACACACACACACTTTTGGCGTCGGCGGCTAGGCATCAGGGGGCGCACTGTATGCAAATTCGCGCCGCGATGCACGAGGGAAGAGGAGGAGGCCCCGGCGCGACGGGGAGAGGGGAAGCCGGGCTCGCTCAAGCAAGTCACTGGCTGCGGCATGGGGGAACGCCGTGGGAGGGGGGGCCGGCAGCGGCGTTGGTCAGCAGCTGGGGGGGACAGCAGCCCAGCGGCAGCCGGGCGGGCCAAAAGCGGGAGCAGCGCATGTGAAGCGGAGACCACACCAATGGGGGAGCTGGCAGAGCTGACGGTCGCAGGGATGGGCAAAGGCGCCGAAAACCCACGGGCCTACGAAGCGCGGCGGGAGGCGTGATGGGGCTGGGAGCAGGCTGCCGCGAGAGCGCCGCTCCAGGCGGCAACCGCAAGCCGGCGTGAAGGCATGGGACGCAAGACAAAGAGGCGGAGCTACACCAATAGGGGGAGCGGCGTGGAGCTGGGAGTGCCAGCAGGGGGGCGGGCGAGCGGACCCAAGGATTGGCCAGAGCGCCGAGACCTGGCGGCGAGGCGCGGCGGGAGGCGAAAGGGCGGAGCGACGGAAGGCCGAGTGCGCCGCGATGGACGCTGCAAGCACTGGCACACACACACACACACACACACGCACACGCACACGCACACGCACACGCACACGCACACGCACACGCACACGCACACGCACACGCACACGCACACGCACACGCACGCACGCACGCACACACACACACACACTTAAGTCAGCGGCGCAGAGGGTCCTCAAGCGCGAACAGAAGATGGAAGTGCGCATTGCGACCGCACCTTGTCGATAGCGCAGCGTACAAGCGACGAACACTGCAGACACGAACGGTTCGCCAATGTAAAGGTGAGCCGCTCCTCCCCTGGGCATCCGACGCCTTGTTCAGGCCCGCTTCCAATACGGGCCCTTTCCGGGCCCCAGGACCTTACACAACGAATCGGGATGAAATATCGGCCCCCGGGGAAATGGTCGGGACTTCCTGGGACCACGTCCTACAAGAATCAAGGCACTGCATGTCTGGGGAAGTCCTGGCCCTTTCCGCGGGGCTGGCCCATCTTTTCAGACCGCATCTTTTTCTGACGATCCCTGGGGGCCGATAACTCCGAAAAGCCTCCGTCGCCATACTCCTTTCAAACGCTGGAGACCTGGTCATCCTCCTTCTCCTCCTCCACGTCCTCCGCAAGTAAGTCTCTCGGCAACAAGAACCCTCATAGCAGCAACTGTGAAGAAGCGGGTGGAGGAGTAGGCCGGCTAGCAGGGACATGGCTGAGAGCACGGCCATGCGCACCTCAGTGTGTTGTACCAGGGGGCGTGGCCGCCCGTACCAGAAAGTAGCCGCCAGTAAGGCGAGAACACGATTCCTGCATACACTGTGGAGAAGATTCCGGCGAACCAGCAGCCGGACCGGGCGGTCTCGGGTTCCCCGTGACCCCTGTGGGACTCTGCCGCGGCCCTTCCGCGGAACTTCTGCGAATACGCGCGCTACGCTCCACAAATCGGCGTTCTATTTTTCTCTGGAACTTTCCCAGAATCTCTGGTTCCGATTTGTCCCGATCTTCCGCTCAACTGACATGAGCCCTCCAGCAAAACGCGACAGAGACGACACGGGGAAAGAACGGGGCTGGAACAACAGAGCCACTCGACCGTCGACCCCCGTCTTCGATCCTCGGGCGATAAGCACCCAAATCAGCCCTGACTCTTTGGGAGGAGACCGAAGTTAGGAGGGACAAGAAACAGTAGGAGTAGGACTGTGTCTGCAGACGTCTCAGACGAGACCGCCCAAATGTTCAGGGACACCCTGAAAGTCCGAGGACCTACGTTGGGCCACGGATGCTATGCCTCAGCTCGGTTGAGGTACTCTCCTGCTTCGTGATCGGGGCCGCGACATCGCTCGGCGGCCCGCGGCCGGGCTCGGCGGCGGCTCGCCCCTGGGGCGAGCCCGCCGGGGGGGGGGCGGCCAGCGGCAGCGGGGGCCTGCTCTGCAGGGGCGCCCCGCCCCCCCCCCTCTGGTCGATCCAGGTCGGACAAGGCAGCAGGAAAAAGAGTTCTAGGGCCTAGGGTTCTCCTGGTGATTCCTCGCGAAGCGTCAACTTGTGGCACTGGGGCGCTGGGGGGTCAGTAGCTCCTGGGGCGATCCGAACCGAGCAAGGGGGGCTTCTGTGGGGGTCTGACGCCGCTCGGAGGAACCGTGTTCCCGTGCCGGCGGCCAAGGCGACGGCGGCGACGGCCCCAGCGGCGGCGGCGACGGCCGTCGCGACAGTCTCCGAGGGGCCTGCGGAGGCACTGGCACAAGAAGGGCACGTCAGCAATGGGTAGGGAAACACATTGGTTCTATGCCCAATATCTGCTGGCCCCCTTGCGAGGCCATCAGGCTGCGAAGATTAGGCTTGCAGCTCCCTGTGCCAGTAGCAATTTACAGCGTCCACTGTTACAGTCCTGTTTTCTGCTTCCTTACTCCTAACTGAGTGCGCGAGGGGGGTAGCCGAAAAGCGTCCTGGTTAAGGTCCCCGGGTCGCGTTGTCTGAATTCCCAGGGGGTCGTGGGACACATAAAATACATGATATTCGCCTCCCCGAAGCCACAATCCTCAGTAAAGTACACCATCTTCGCGTACTCGAAGCCACAACCCTCAGTAAAGTGCACCATCTTCGCGTACTCGTAAATTACACAATGTTAGCGTCCCCGAAGCCATAATCCCTAGTAAATGAATACTAGCGCCCGCGAAGCCACCAACCTTTGCAAATTGAATTATATTCGCGCCCCCGACGCCATAGACCCTAGTAAATTACATAGTGTTTGCGCACCCGAAGCGATTAAGGTCCCCGGGTCGCGTTGTCTGAATTCCCAGGGGGTCGTGGGACACATAAAATACATGATATTCGCCTCCCCGAAGCCACAATCCTCAGTAAAGTACACCATCTTCGCGTACTCGAAGCCACAACCCTCAGTAAAGTGCACCATCTTCGCGTACTCGTAAATTACACAATGTTAGCGTCCCCGAAGCCATAATCCCTAGTAAATGAATACTAGCGCCCGCGAAGCCACCAACCTTTGCAAATTGAATTATATTCGCGCCCCCGACGCCATAGACCCTAGTAAATTACATAGTGTTTGCGCACCCGAAGCGATAAACCTTTGAACGTTATGCAATATTCGCGCTCCCGAGGCCAACCCTTGTAAATTACACAATGCTTGTGTCTCCGAGGCCACAGACCCTTGCAAAAAACACCATATTGGCGTCCCCGAAGCCATACATCTTCGTAAATTATACAATTTCTGCGCCCCCGAAACCGTGAACCTTACTAAATTATGCAATATGTGCGTCGCCGAGACAACAACCCGTCGTAAATAGGTATGCCACGTCCGCGTCCCCGAATCCATCAACCATCGTACATTACTTCATAGCCACACCACCAAATCCATAAACCCTTGTCAAGTAATATTGGCCCTCGCGTGAAGTCCCGACATTGCTTCACGTCAGCGTCCAAACATCCGAGCACAGCTCTGGCAGGTCCCATTCTAAGCTAGGAAGGCTGGCGGCATGGGGGCGAAGCCCTTGCGGACACTATGTTGCCCAAAAGAGACAGCGGCCAGTGTTGGGCAGGCGGCGATGTCTCAGATGGACAGCACCCGCGGCGACACAGACAACGAACCCTGTTCAAAACTGGCAGGGGCTGTTGGTGGTGTTCGTCCCCTTTATTTCCGTACCCACCATGTTGATCAAACCGACAGGATGGCCCCAACACCCAGCACGGGGCGGGTCGCGCCTGCTCCTGGCTTGCTCCGACGCCCTCGGGGCCGCAGCCGCCGCTGGCTCCGCCCTCCAGGCGGCGGGCGAGTTGGCGGCAGCGGCGAATGCGGCGGCGGTGGCGACGACTGCGGCGACGGCGGCGGCGATGCGGTGGTGAGGGCACGACAGTGAGTGCGCGAGGTCGCGGCAACCGAGAGATATTTCGACCCCAATACCCATCTTTGTGGGACTTCCGACGGGCCAAGTAACTTTGGTCCGAACTCGGGGATACACGATGGGGGTGCGTCCACCTTCCATCGGAGATCTGGGTGCGACGACGGCGGCGACGATGACGACGACGACGAAGGCGACGGCGACGGCGGCGGCGGCGCGCGGGAGTTGTACGGGGCGGGCAGGCGGGGCGTGGGAAGGGAGGGGGCCACCTCGTCCTTTGCGACGCGTCCCCAGGTCCACCCCTGACCTTCCAGGACAACTGTTGAATACCACTGGTATGTTTTGGCTTGTAGGTTCGAACCCATA